GAAATGTCCACGGGGGCTGACAATGTAAACTTGTTCATTGATTGGGAGTGTCTGGAATAATCAGTCGGATGGAGAGAAATATACACACTAGCCTCCTAACACTGATCCAAGCGATACACCTGCAGTGTGTGTGTGTGGGGCAAAACTTGGCATTTCTCTACCTGTGTTTTGAGTAAATATGAAGTGAGAAGTAAGTGCCATTAAATCATTCATGGATTTGAATTTCAGATCCTCCTGCCTCTACTTCTCAAGTACTGGGATTACAGATGTGTGCCACCTCATCTGGCTGAAGTCTGTTAAATCTTGATTTGATTATTTGAGCAAGAGAAGGCGAGCATGGGAGAAAGCCTACCTGGGTGAGGCAGCCAAAACCAAGGTGCATTGGAGGGTTCAGACAGCTGCAGGGGGATCGCACTCAGATCCAAAAAGGCAGAGATGAGCCACACACAGGCCACGGGGGCAAGCACCTGGAGAACAATACTGACGTGACAAAGAGCCCCCCCTCGCCCTGAACCTTCTGAGGCAGCCTGGGTGGGTAAGGCCAACAAAAACTCAGAAAGGAGACCAAAGGAACAGTCCATTTTTTTGTTGGTTTCAACTATTTTATTTTATCCTATTTTTGAGACATGTCTCTCTTTGTAGCCTTGGCTGTCCTGTAACTCACTCTAATAAACCAGGCTGGCCTCACAGAGATCTACCTGCCTCTGCCTCCCAAGTGCTAGGATTAAAAGTGTGTGCCACCATGCTCAGCTCAAACTATTTTTTTTAAGGGTTGGAGAGTGGAGGTGGTGCTTGAAGGGCAAAAGAGGGACTTGGATTCTGAAGCAGGAGTTACAGGCAGTTACAAGCTACCCACATGTGTGCTGAGACCCAAACAGGAGTCCTCAGGTCCTCTGGAAGAGTATCAGTATCTTTTTTGTTTGTTTGTTTGTTTGTTTGTTTGTTTTTCGAGACAGAGTTTCTCTGCATAGCCCTGGCTGTCCTGGAACTCACTCTGTAGACCAGGCTAGCCTTGAAATCTCGATCTCAGAAATCCGCCTGCCTCTGCCTCCCAAGTGCTGGGATTAAAGGCGTCCGCCACCATTGCCCGGTGAGCATCAATATCTTAACTTTTGTTGTTGTTGTTGTTGTTCATGTATTCCATGATGGGCTGAAACTTTCTAAGTAGCAGAACTTGAACTCCTGAATTTCCCTGCTCCCGTCTTCCCCAGTGTGTGATCACAGATGTGTACCTCACCTGGCTATACACATCAGTCAGCTCTTCTAACTTCATCTACCCAGAGCCCCACCTACCGAAAGGAGTCGGAAGAGAGGAATACAAATGTGAGTTGAAGTTGAAGCTGGCCTCCAGGAACAAAGGGGTACCTGGCACGAACCCAAGTGCTGAGAGCATACCACCATGAGCAGGATGAGCCTAAGGAAGAGAAGGAGCTTTGCTGGTCAAAAGTATCAGAATTGCAGGTCAGAAGCATCAGAATCCTGAATGATGGCAATGTGAGTATGCAGGATATCATAAAAGGAGATCCTAGGGCAGAAACTGCTCATGGGGGGGGGGTGGTAGGGAGGTACCATGAGGTATCATGGCATGTGACTGAATATCAGGGAGACGGAATAAATTAAGGGAAAGCCTTGGATTCCAAATGCAAGCACTGTTATCCCTGCCCAGGGGGCTATGGAATTTGAGCAGTTCTGCCCTCCCACGGTCTATACACCTACTTGGCTACCACCCACACCTATCAGGACTCACGTACAGCAAGGCCAGGCCCCAGTGAGCAGAACAGAACTGGGCCACCTCCTTGTGGGCAGAGAGCCCCGCCACAACCAGGCTGGGAGCCAGCACCAGTGGCCCACAATAGGGGAACACACGGCCAGGCACCCCTAGAAGTCCTATAGTGCCCTGCAGCAGTCCGGACACCACCACTGCCCCCGACACCTATGGGTGTAGAGGGGAGGACAGAAGAATTTCCACTCAATCAAGTTGACCTCAGCCTGGAATTTCTAACTATCTCCAAGTATAAGCCCCCTGCCTAACTCCTCCCCAAAGCATCAGTGTCTAATGACGGGAACAGGAGCCTCTCCAGGCTGGGGCCATCCAGTCCTTCTGCCGTCTTCCTCCAGGCACTCACCTCTCGGAGAGAAGTGTTCCAGAGCTCCGGCCCATGGCAGCTTTTGGTCAAACTACATAGGCGCAATGAGAGGGAGGCTGGATGTTTGGGGTGAAGAAAGGAGATGTAGATGGAACATAGATGCTCTTCCGTCCTAGATGACGCCTGGCGTAACCTCAAGACCTCTACAGTGCCTAGTACCACCCAACCTCCAGCCAACATGTACCTCCGCCTCTAGCCCACCTTTACTCTGTACTCACCATTTCCAGGTGTCGTGGTCTTCAGAGGTAGCTTCTGGTTTGTCAGCACCAGAGCGGGGATAAGAAACTCTAGGGACGGAGCCTGGATTAGAGGTAGCCTGTAGGGACAGCGGCCCCAGCAGGTTTGGAAACATGTGGCAGTCAATAGGATTCCCCTAAGTCTCTTTTGAGAGACTACTCCCTCTCTCAACGAAGTTCCCCTCACCTGCTGCCCATCCAAGTTTGCAGGACCGTAGACATGCCACATGAAAAGAAACTGGAAGCCAGGAGCTGAGCAGGTGGATATGAGAGCCCTCCTGGGGGAAGACCGTGAAGCAGCAGCAGGTGGGAGGCCCAGAGCAGAGATGTCAAGACCAGGAAATGCTGGAGATAAGAGGAATAGAGAGGGAGGAGTTTCCGAAATACCTATCTGTAGGTTTCTCATGACTCACTGACTCCCTCCAAATATCCATTTCAGATAGTGCCAACTCCTACCACCTCAACCTCCTACCTGTAGAGCCAGAAGACAGCTGAGCCCCCAGGTGGAAGGCCCACACCGAGAGGCCCAAGAGCGGGAGGAGGGATTCTGGACAGGGGGTAGCAGTGGTGGCAGGGAAGCAGGGGTATCCTGGGAGCCCACAGATAGAAGTGGAATGGGATAGAGAGGTGATCCGTTCATGTTGCCCTGACTTGAGTGCGTCTTGGCTGCCCCAGGCTAGTTGAGTATAAGAGGTCAGAGTTTGGGTGGAGTGAGCTGGCTTCTGTGGGGAGGGAGTGGTGGGGTGTCAACGAAGCGGAGAGAAGGGATAAGGGTTTGGGAACAGGACATGGCTCTTTCACCTTTGCCCAGCTCTTGTGAAAATTCCATCAGCCATTAACCTAGCAGCTGAGTCCTGGACCCCTCCCTCAAGAATGTTCATCCATATCCTCTGCTTGTAGACCAGGCTCTGAGGGTGAGGCTTAGGGGGCATCTATCACAACCGCCTGCGGAACCTGTGCAAAGGACCTCTTCCCATCATCAACATTCAGCATTGCCTCGGTTAGGTACACATTCCTCAGCCAAACAAGACATGCCCCACGTCAGTTCAAAACAAACCCGTGTGTAGAATGCCCTCATCCTTTATGACTATGACCACTGTATATACAGCCCTCACTGTAAAGCAAGAGGACTCAACAGCAACGTGTATTATGAAATGTAACTGCTTGGGGACAAGTAAACCAGAAGACAATGGAACGGTCTGCTGCCCACACCCATAAATAGAATTGCTGTGGATGTGACAGCTATGTTGTCAGCCGGTAATGACACTTTACTCAGATGTCACAGGCATTGGTGACCTGGTTTTAATAGTGAGCAAACTTCTGGTAAAACATTGGACAAAGTATACATTTACTTTATAATCCCCTGCAAATTGAGGTTAATTTTTCTTATTTTTGAGACTATCATTACATTATTTCTCCCTTCCCTCCTTCAAAACCCTTCCGTATGCCCCTCTATCTCATTTTTCAAATTCATTGCTTTTTTCATTGTTATTACATTGTTATTACATGTATTTAGGAACATGTATGCACGTGTTCCTAAATGTAACCTGTCAGTTTGTGTAGTTATTCCTATGTATGTTTTCAGAGCTGATGATCTGGTATTGGATGACCAATCGATACGCTATCCCTGGGGAAGACTACTCCTCCCACTCCAACCATTCTGTAGGCACCTTTCTTTGTGTAGGGTTGAAGCCTCAGGTTTCTCTCTCTTTTTTTTTTTTTAAAAAAAAAGCACAAAAATGTTTACACCTAAAATGTAATAGGATCAGGTAGGGTTGGTGGCACATGCTTGCATCCTATCACTCCGAAGGCAGATGTAAGTGGATAGCAAGTTCCAAGTTCCAGATTAGCCTGAACCTAGTGAGACCATTTCCAAAAACAGCTAACTCCAGGCTCAGCTAAAACAGGATTTTCATATGAGTGATGATAATGTCTTAGCAATTGCTCATAGTAAAGGAGGTTTCCAGCCCTTTAGGATATCTAGCATCCCACTCAGGCTGAACAAAAAAAATGCCAGTAGGTTTCTCAAAGATTCTAACAAAAGGTCAGTATATTTCTACAATGAGCCCTTGGGGGCGGCAGCTCCCACCAGACCACAGACCTTTATTCCCAGCCCCCACACTCCCTAAATGATCCTTAGCAGTCAGCTAGAGTTCTAAATACAACAAAGATGGCTCTTCTAGTGATGACCTGGCTCTGGTGCTTCAGCACCAGCTATTTCTATAAGTCACCTTGGTGACAAGGTCAGCAGAGCTTGTATTCTAGGCGCTCAACTGGATACGTGTTTTGAACCATAAGAATCAACAAGGCTGGTACCCACCCAGGATATGCAACAACAGGCAAGGCTTTCCCAGGCCTCACAGTCACCACTTGTATCCCATGGCAGGCCACATCCAACAATTTCAGGGCCCCCAAGGAAGTAGCAGCAGGGATGCAGGAAAGCTTGAAACAGGAACCAATAACTATTAGGAAGTTCTAAAACAGCTCAGAGAAAATGCCTACGTGTTGATTATAGGACTGTGCATCTGACTTGGGAGGCAGATGAGGATCTGACTTGGGAGACAGATGAGGGATGGAAGATCATCAAAGAATGTTGTAGAAGGAAAAGGCCAGGCCATGCAACAGAAACTGTTTATTGAAACCTCAGTTCTATAAAAGCATGAAAAACCCAGATACAAAGCAGTGGCGTCCAGGGAGGCCTGTGAAGAGAACACCGAAAGGCAGAGAGGGACACCTTGGATTGGAGCAAGATGCTACAGTTGGAAGACAAAGGGACAAGGTTAAAGGACCCAGCAGTTCTTGGCTGTGACAACTGCATCCATGGGACAGGTGTGGCTTCCCACCTCAGGGAGCCTTCTGTCCCTCAGCAGCTCTCATCTTGGTTTTCCTGACTGAAACAGCAGAGACCCACATCAATGCGTTCTTCCTCTCCTCATCCACTCCCACACCTCCCACTTTTACCTTTCTATCTTTGGAAACTTCAAACCAAAAATCTACTCTGGGCTTGTGAAGGCAGGGAGATTCTGTCATCCGTGGCATGCCTCTGGTCACTGAGCTGACACTGTCCCAGGCACCACTGGTGTCCTAGCCTACTAGCCAGTCTCTGAGGTCTAGGAGAGTGAATGACCTTGTACTGCCCCATAATTCCTTATGCTCCTACCCAGGAGGAACAGGGGACTAGCCAAGGGCCCAGAGAGGTAGCAAAAATCTAAGTCAAGTTTTCCTCTTCCAGGTTCTCAAGGACTCCCAAACCCTCTTAATGCATTCCAGAGCCCAACCTAGCCTGGGAAAATGACAGACTTGAGACGAGCCAGTTCCATGACATTAAAAAGAGAACACTGCTGGGGCTGGAGAAATGGGGGGGCCACTGGGCTCCAGAGCCAGGGTGGGGCCGGGCCATGGGTATAGTAAAAGGGGCTAGAAGGACCAACAGACACCGTAAGGTTAGGCTGGTGGCAGGCATGGCAGTTTGAGGGGTTTCTCTGGAACTTCTGGCAAAAGGGGCATTTGTGGAGAGCAGTAGGAGGGGCAGGAGGGTCTGGAGGGAGTATCAGAGGGGGTGTCAATGGGGCCAGAAGACTGCCCCAGAGTGATGGCAAATCTACATTGCCTTCTGGGCAGCTGGAGACATTAGTCAGGCACTGTGGCACAGGGGCAGGTGTGCAGGGCTGCACAAGGCTCTGGGAGACCAGTGTGAGTTCAGGAGGACCTGGTGAGGGGCTGGAGGACAGCCCCAAGGACTGGTGTATTACAGCCACCGACGCCACAGCTAGGGCCACGCTGCTCACATATGCCACGGCTAAAAGGCAGGATAGCTGCAGGAGAGAAGATATGAAACAAAACATCAGGCTGATGACTGTAACCATCCCCTACTCCTAGTCTCTCGAGTTGAAGTTCTCTATAACTCCCCTTGCCTCCTCCACCCTCCCATCTATTCTCAGTTCCTGAGTCTTTCAGAATTTGCTTTTCAACACACACACACACACACACACACACACACACACACACACACGGACTCACATGTGCTTGTCCAAGCCTACTCAAGCCCCTCCTCATAACCCCTTCTCACCTTCACCAGACGCTGGCAGAGGGAGCCCAGAGACAGCTGCCATGTTGGCTGCTCCAGCAGCACACACAAGTCTGTGTAGGTGTACCAGCCCCGTCGCCGTCCTTGCTGCTGAGCCACACTAATAGGAAGAGACAAGGGGTTAGGGACTCTCTGCAACTAGCCCAGGGGTACCTTTATACCTTTCAGGACCCATCAGAAGACACTAAGGAGTTGACTGAATGCACAGATCCTTAGGCTACCCACTGATCCAGAAGGTGAAACCAGACCTAAACTTCAAGTAAGTTGCTCACACTGCCAAAGGAGGGCAGAAGGGTTAGACAATGACCACTCTGAACAATTCTCTTCCCTTCCCTTCTTCTTCCCTTCTTCCCTTCCCTTCCCTCCCCTTCCCTTCCCTTCTTTCTCCCAGGTACACATATCTTATCTCTAGCTCCTATGGCATTTGCCTAGGCCTCTAAATGCTTCAAACTCCTCTTACTAATTCCTGGAACTCACCAGCTCTCCAGCCAACTCAGCACCTCAAAGATCTCCCGAGGATCAGTGTAGAGACGCCAATCCTGTGTGCAAGAAAGAAGACACGCATAGTAATTTACTCCTGTGATACCAGTACTTGGAAGGCTGAAGCAATTGTATGGCAAGTTCTAGGCCAGCTTGGGCTACAAAGTGAGTTCTAGGCCAGCCTGAACTATAGTATAAAACTACCTCAACAAACCCTAATTAAGTTGGAACAGGAAAGAGCCACAGTAATGTCAGCCACAAGCCACACTGACCTGCTCAGAGCAGCTATACCACTAGCCAAGAAGATGTGCTAGCTACTCTCCGGAGCTTGCACATACTATATCAGCACCTACCTGACTGAGTTATCCCCTCTATAAAGTGCAAGTGGAGAAAAGAAACCTAAGAAGGTCAGTGTCCACATGGAGCTCAAAATCTAAGGCAGAAAAAGCTTGACAGCAAATACTCAGAGGCTAAGACTACAGGGTTCTGCCTCAAAGTGTCCTTGGAGGAAGAGGAAGAAGCCTCTACTTTGAGACTCATTGCTTCAGGAACCTCTAGACTAGTCCTGAAAGGACAGGAAAGGGAGAGCCTACCAAAAAGACACAGGAAGAACAGACATACAAAGTCAGGTGCAATATATACATCTATAATCAGCATTGAGAGACAAAAGCAGGAGAAACAACAGCAGGATCGCATCACAAGGTCAAGACTAGCCTTGTCTACACAGTGAGCTCTAGGTCAGCCTGATTTAAAATGTATTCATTAAGAGACAGGGTCTGGGGCTGGAGAGATGGCTCAGCAGTTAAGAGCACTGACTGCTCTACCAGAGGTCCTGAGTTCAATTCCCAGCAACCACATGGTGGCTCACAACCATCTGTAATGGGATCTGATGCCCTCTTCTGGTGTGTCTGAAGACAGCTACAGTATACTCATATACATTAAATAAATAATATTTAAGAGAGAGAGAGAGAGAGAGAGAGAGAGAGAGAGAATGTGAGTGTCTGACTATGTAGGCCTAAGTGTCCTGAAATTGACCAGGCTGGCTTCAAACTCACAGAGATCTGCCTGAGATTAAAGACACGCAACCAGAGAAAAATAAAAAAGGAGATTGTTCGATATCTCAGTAAACACTTTGTATATAAGCATGAAAAACTGAGATTCTCTGGAACCCATGTAAAAGAAGTGGGCATGACAGCATGCACTTGTAATCTCAACACTAAGGAGCCAAAGACAAACAGATCCAGCCTAACCTAGTCTGTGAGTACCAGGCTAAATAGAACCTACTTCAAAAAGCAAGGTAGACAAGTCCTTAGGAAAACACTCAAGGTTATCTGGTACACACACACACACACACACACACACACAGAGAGAGAGAGAGAGAGAGAGAGACAGAGAGAGAGACAGAGAGACAGAGAGACAACAGAAAGCTGAGAGAGAACAAAGAATGAAGGAACATAAAGGCAGATGAGAAGCTGAGTAGCAGGCAGTGGTTCACACCTTTAATCCCAGCACTTGGGAGGATCTCTGAATTCAAGGCCAGCCTAGTCCACAGAGTTTTAGGACAGTCAGGGCCACACAGAGAAATCCTGTCTCGAAAACAAACCAAGACAGATGAGAGAAGAATCACTCACCATGGCACTCAGGAAGCTCCTTTCCAAGGCATTGAGAGTAGCCACAGCAACGCCCCCAGCAGCTCCCCACTCATCATTAAAGACCTCCTCTTCCTCTCCTTCATCATAAAGGTATTTACTGGCCACCATCTACAGAGAAACCAGGAATGGCATCAGTGGAGTTTATACCTGGTGCCTGGCTCACTGGGAAGATAAAGGAAGCGGGTACCTTACCATGGAGATCAGAAACAAATCAGAAGATGACACGTGCTGCAGATAATCTGGGTTTCGGTGCCGGAGCCGCTCAATGTACACCAGAGCTAACATCATAGCACATGGGGAGATACAGGCCTCTCTGGGAGGTAGAAAGGAGCAGTAATTAAACCCAAGGGTCCTCAGCTCTTCAAACTCTCAAGATGCTCATCACACTTTCTCTTTAGAGACAGTAACATCCCACATGCCCCATCTCATTCTATCCTCTCCATCCCAAGCTCACCGAGACACGTGGGCTACGTATTTTTTCTGGAGTCGGCGAATAGGACTGGGTGCTGCCTTCTGGAGAAGTTCCACAGTAATGTCTGAAAGGAGATGGGGAGCAGAATAAGCAACTCCCAACACACACAGCAGTTCCAATGACTGTCAGAGAAGACCTAGGTCTGTAGTATCTGAGGCCCTGGGGACATGACTGTCACAAAAAACTAGAAACCAAATTCTCCTAAGATAGGAGGGAAGGCATGATGAAACACGCCTGTAATGCCAAAACTCAAGATATAAGACAGGGGGATTATTACAAGGTGAAGGCCAAGAAGATCTATACAGTGAGTTCCAGGCTATTCAGATCTATGTAGTAAGACACTGTCTCAACCCTTCAGCCCTCCATTTGCCTACCATACCCCACCCCCAAATTCTAAGTGGATAAAAGCCAATTCCAAGGTTGAGCCTCAGCTTTTTTCAGCAGAAAGGCTGTTTTTCTATTAAGTTACTCATGTTTATTTTTCCCTAACGTTTATTTAAGAAGTGTGCCTTGTTTACTTGAGAAACATGTAACACAGATACTTAGAAAACCAAAGGGGGGCCGGGCGGTGGTGGCGCACGCCTTTAATCCCAGCACTTGGGAGGCAGAGGCAGGCGGATTTCTGAGTTGGAGGCCAGCCTGGTCTACCGAGTGAGTTCCAGGACAGCCAGGGCTACACAGAGAAACCCTGTCTCGAAAAAACAAAAAAAAAAAAAAAAGAAAAGAAAGAAAGAAAGAAAGAAAACCAAAGGGGGCAGCAGACTTGGGATATAGCTTTATGGTAGAGTGCTTGCCTAGCATACACAAAGCCCTAAACTATGTGACTGCAATTTATGAGCTGTTTTTACTCACATGGCTAAAGGAATTTGAAATATGGCCTGCACTGTCAAACCAAGTACCAACCAAGCTAGTTATGAGACACAGTGCAGCTCAGAGGGCAAACCTCCAGGCATTTGGGTGACTATGACAACCCAGTCCTCCAAGTTCCCACTTGCTCAGTCACACACACACACACCACAGCCTAACCTGCCACAGGGCTGGAGAGCTCCTCCAGGCTGCAGTCTGTCTCCAAGTCCCAGCCATAATAGAGTCTCCTTCGGATTCGAGCGCTTAGCTTTTGGTGTCCTGGAAGGAACTGAAACAGAGCCAGGAGTAGTGGAGGGTGAAGGGCAGGGAAAGGTTTGGTGGAAATCCTGGGTACTGCCACTGGGCCTATACTCTACCCTGCCCCAAGTTCCCAGGATCATTTGCTAATGGCAGCCTAGTCTTGTCCACATGGAGAGAAGGACAATCACCCTGCCCCTGCCATCACTGAGGGCTCCCAGTAGAAGACTAGACAACTAGAAACCAGATGAACCCCAGTCTAATCACTAGCAGTTCCCTTATAACCTGAGGCTTTGCCTTCAGGCCCAAGCAGCATGGGCCTCCGAGTAGGCATTGCTCTCAACAGCCGCCCAATCCAGGGCATAACAAGAAAGAGAGTGCCCATTCCACTCGGGTATGGAGGAGAACGCTGGGGAGTTACGACTGCCAGAAGCAGAGAACAGGCGGGCTGAGCTCTCACCGTGAAGTCCTGGAAATCGGCGAGGGAGAAGGTGCCTTCTTCGTCCAGTAGGAGCCCAGCCAGATCCATCGCACTATCAGCGGCCACTCTGCGAAGGTGAAGGGGAAGAGAAGGAATCCCCAGAGAAGTGATCCCCAGAGTCGTCCTCACCCGTTGGCCCACCTCCCCCGAAAGGGCCAACGCCCCGACTGCGCGTAGCCTCCTCCCTTCTCGAAGGCAGCCGTGGGACGCCTCTTCCTGTTCCGTGTGCGACTGGGCCTCCAGGCGCCCGAAGATACGCGCGGCGCTCACCAGGCGAACCAGGAGGTACGAGGGCCAGAAGTGTTCTCAGCCCGTGCTGCGTCCGCCTGGCGTTTATAAGCTGCGGGAGTGTCACCGACGAGTCTGCGCACCCGGTGGGAAATGTCTCCTGCCCTACCCAACCTCCCCGCTCTCAGGAGCCACGAGCACCCGGGGCTGAATTGTAATACGGTTCCCAGGGGACGGCGACACACCAAGGGTGAACGCGCTGACCAGACTTTGTGGTCCTGGTACAGATGTTAGCGAGCCCAACACAAAGGCAACGCGGCGAGTTGTTTCCTGGGTTTTAGGGAAGACGTACTCAATCAGCAATGCACAAGAAAGATGAACAAGAAACTTACCCGTGGGAGAACTGTGAACAAGGTGGGAGGGAATCTGTTGAACCTTTACGCCCCTTAGAAGTTTGAAATTGTAAAACTCGAATACATACTGTATTTTGTAGGGTTACTCCAGCAATTAAATCTCAAAAGATATAAAGCCTCAATGTACGATGTTAAACAGGTCTCCCCAAAGTAAACAGCGCCTGGATGTTTTATTTTCGAGCACGCCTTCCACCCAATTTGCCGCTGAAAGATTTTGGGATGAAAGAGGGCGGACGCTCGAAGAAGGAAGAAGCAACTTTTCCAAGTTGGTGAAGCTGCTTTGAAGTCATTAAAGTCACGCGCTGGTGTTTGTTTATCCGCTGAGGGGAGGGGACTGGAGGCGAAGAGGGTTGAGTAATGGGAATGGCACCGCCCTTCCCGATCCCAAACAGATCCTGGCCAAGATCCTGGGGGCCTGGAAGCCCACTTCCTCCGAGCGGGGCCTCACGCGAGAAAGCGGTCTCCAGCCGCCCTGTAAACACAGAGAGAAGACCTCAGGCCTCGCAGCCTCAACGCCCGCCCAGGATCACCACTCCAGCACCCAAGAAGCACACCTCCGTGGGTGCAGGATCACGACAGCGGCCACTGCGCACGCGCGGGCCTCCCATCCGGGCTGTTAGGGCACGTCACATGGCATCGCGCTCCGTCACGTGACGCTTGACCGCAGGTTTTTTTTGCTCGCCCGGGCGTGCGCCCCCTTCCGTCTGACGCGCCCCCGGCGGCGGCCGCGCAGCCCTGGCTCCTCGCGGGCTCGGGCAGCGGCTGCGGCTCGGTGATGGCGAGCAGCGGCGGCGGTAACACCGGCGCGGGTGGCACCTCGGGGCTAGGCCTGGGCCTGGGGCTGAGCCTCGGCATGGGTGAGGCCACCGGCGACGCGGAGGAGGAGGCGGCCGCAGCCGAGGCAGTGGGACGCCTAGCCACGTCCCTGTGGCTGCGGCTCCGCGGCTGGGAGACAGTGCTGGCGGCCGCACAGCGACTGTTGGTATGGGAGAAGCCGCTGCACAGCCTGGTCACGGCGGCCACCCTCAACGGCCTCTTCTGGTAACGGCCGCGGAGGAGGGGGCGGGGCCGGGCTGCGCGGGAGAGCGGGGGCGGGAGGACCCGGTGCTCCCTCCCCTCCCTTGGAGGGCTGTAAGCGTCTGGGGCGGTGATCCTGCACCAGGTTGCCCCATTTCTTAGTCTCTTAGTGATGGGCAAGGCTTAGAGGGCCATCTCCCCATCAGTGGGTCTTTCTGTGATGTTCGATGGATTTGGGAGCCTCTTACTCTCGGCTGAGATGCCTGTCTCCCTAAGGTTGTTGTCTTCGTCGTCCCTCCGGCCCTTCTTCCTGCTCAGCATCTCACTTTTGACCTATTTTCTCCTGGATCTCTGGCATCCTCACTTTCTCCCTGACGTTTCAGGTGAGTTCCTTCATTCCACATGCACTGTTGTGCACCTGCCCTGTGCATCATCACCCTACTACTTGAGAGGAGGCACAGCAAGGCCATTTATCTCCTAAGGCATCCTTCATGCCCTTCCTTTTTTTTTTTTTTTTAAGAAAATTGCCTGAAATTAAAGTTGTTTCTTTCTCAAAAATAATGTTCTTGTGAGTCTAGTAGTCAAAACTCTAACGTTTAAAGCTGGGTGTGGTGGTGCATGCCTTTAATCCCAACACTTAGGAGGAGTCAGGGGGGATCTCTGGGAGTTCTAGGCTACTTTGGTCTATGTTGGGAATTCCAGGTCAGCCAGAGCTACATTGTGAGACAATGTTTCAAAAACAAAATAAGTAAAAGAGTGTGGAGTTTGTGGCTGAAGCACCTGAGTTCCATTCTCTGCTCTGCCTTTTGCTGTCAGCCGGTGGTGTATGGCCTTGTAAAGAATTGCTGAAGTGATTGGGCGTGGTGGTATATGCCTTTAATCCCAAATTTGGGAGGCAGAGGCAGGCAGATCTCTAGGCCAGCCGGGTCTACAGAGTGAGTTCCAGGACAGCCAGAACTACACAGAGAAACCTTGTCGAGGGAGGGAGGGAGGGAGGGAAGGAAAGAATTGTAGAAACAAGGAACATCCCAGAGGGAGATGGTTAAGTGAATGTCTACAGAGAACATGCTTTCCTGTACACGCTAATGTACATCTTGGAATAACTATGTATCTGACTATATATGGATTACTCAGGACACAAATGAATAAATATGGGGTCCTGTGTTTGATAAAGGCAAAGTTTAAAGGAGGCAAAGATGGACCTGGTGTCACAGGCCTGCCATCCCAGCTTCTTTAAGATGCTGAGGCAGGGGAGGGTACAAGTTCAAAGCCTACCCTGGGGATACAGCTCAGGGTACTGTGTTGCCTAATGTTGACCCCAGGCTTAATTCCCATTACTGCAAAAAAAAAAAAAAAAAGTACAGACAGGCACAGGAGCAGTATGTCATACAGCTTATTGTTGGTGTATGAAGGAAATGCTCTGGACCTCATAGAGCGGTTCATGCCTGAAAGCAAGAGACAGGAGGATTACTGAGAAATTGAGATGGAGAATGCTGCAGAGAGGCAGTTCTTTCTGACTTTGGATCTGTCTCTAAGTGCCTTTTGCACTCTTAATTTACCCCCACCCCCTTTTCTCCATAGCACCACCCCCTGAAGAACCACACTCTGACAGGTGAGTATAGGCCACCTTTTAAAGAAGATGCCCAGATGTTGTCTGCTTGCTGTGCTTGGCTCAAAGAGGAGCAGGGCTGGGGCTTTTGCAGGCATGGGTGTGCCTGGCTCTAGGCTTCTTTCTATGCAGATGCTGTGCTCCTTCTCCTGTGGAGGTAGAGGGTTGAATACCCTGGGAATTTACTTCCCATGACTAGGATGACTTCCTTTGGGGGAGGTGGAGTTTTCCCTATTTCCAGAATGAAGATCTCATCAGCAGTCTCAAAGTGATTTGAGTGTCTTAGCTGGTTTCTGAGGCTTCCAGGGGTCATATCATGTCTCCCCAGTGAGGGTGCGGGGTCAGGCGCCCAGCCGCACCTGCTGAGTGTGCCCGAGCTGTGCAGATACCTGGCTGAGAGCTGGCTCACCTTCCAGATTCACCTGCAAGAGCTGTTGCAGTACAAGAGGCAGAATCCAGCTCAGGTAAACCTCATCCTGTAACAACTGCAGGAGCCAGAGGGGCTGGGAGAGGAGTGAAATGCCCAGTGTCGATTGTTAAATGTCCTCAACTGGTTCCCATTTTTCCACCAGATAAATAGTAGTTTCTTCCCCTGGTGACTGTGCACATGGTTTAAGCCTAGTGTTCTTCATAGATCCTGTGCTCTTCTCTGCAGTTCTGTGCTCGAGTCTGTTCTGGCTGTGCTGTGCTAGCTGTGTTGGGACACTATGTTCCAGGGATTATGATTTCCTACATTGTCTGTGAGTGGAGGTCATCCCTGCTATTTCCAAAGCCCTTTCTATTGTTATTTCCCTGGGTTGACCCAAAGGAAAGACTGCATTTTCTTTATTAGTTACCTGCCTGGGGAGGAGAGTAGTAGACAGGGGGAAGAGGTTATCACTGCCTTGGGAAAGGATCTCATCTTTGTTCAGACCTACCTGTTCAGGGACAGTTTGGATGAAGGCTCCTGGGAAAGTAGCTTACTGAGCTGAGTGGACTTTTCTAACCCATAGTGCTGAGCATCCTGCTGTGGCCCCTGGTGGTTTATCATGAATTGATCCAGAGGATGTATACTCGCCTGGAGCCCCTGCTCATGCAGCTGGACTACAGCATGAAAGCAGAAGCCGATGCCCTGCACCACAAACATGACAAGAGAAGTAAGGGAGTCTCTTAACCTGGGCGGTGGAGGCAGGGAGGGCCTGTCCTGTATGGCTCGTGGTGTGTCCTGGAGTTGAAATCATTTCCAGTTCCTTAGCCATATTTGTCACCACCGTTATCTTGCTCATTGTTGCCTGATTACCCTTCTCTAGAGCGGCAAGGGAAGAATGCACCCCCAGCAGGAGATGAGCCACTGGCGGAAACAGAGAGTGAAAGCGAGGCAGAGTTGGCTGGCTTCTCTCCAGTGGTGAGGTCCAGGGAAGATGGGGTGTCAAGTAGAAGGCTAAAGGGAACCTGGGTATTGTGGTGCACACATGTAGAATTCAAGACCAGACTGGTTTTCATTATGAGTTTGAGATTAGCCTGGACTACATTAGACCCTCCTATCTCCAAAGAAAGAAAAAGAAAAAGGCAGAGAGGGGCGAGAGTGTATCTGCTTTAGAGCTACCAGTTCTCAAGTAGTTGGGAACCAGAAGGCTTGAAGGTAAAGTGTTCTTATCCCAATATGTTGGATTCATCCTGGATCTCCTGCAGGTGGATGTGAAGAAGACAGCCCTGGCCTTGGCTATTACAGACTCTGAGTTGTCAGATGAGGAAGCCTCTATCTTAGAGAGCGGTGGTTTCTCTGTATCTCGGGCCACCACCCCACAACTGACAGATGTTTCTGAGGGTATGAGCAGTCTTTTGCCCCTCTTTATCTTCCTGCTCTCTGATACTGAGTTGTTGCCAGCTGTGTTCTCTGAGTTCCAGAAATGCCTCCTGTAACATGGATTCTCTAATCGTACTCTAAGCTCCCAAAAACCTCAGCTCCATCCTCATGCTTTGCTTTGTAGTGTTTGGTTGTTTTTAGATCTGTTTATTTTATGTGTATGAATATTTGGCCTGCATAATGTGTCCACACCATACGCATGCCTGATGCCTGCAAAAGTCAGAAGAAGGCATCTGATCCCCTGGACCTAGAGTTACAGTTGGTTGTGAGTAACCATATGGGTGCTAGGAATTGAACCTGAGTCCTCTGCAAGAGCAGCAAGTGCTCTTAATCACTAAGCCATCTCTTCGGCGCTGCTCTGCTTTTTGAGAAAGGATCTTAGTCTAGGCTTGCTTTGAACTTCATTTGTAGCAGAAGATGACCTGAACTCCTGGTCCCTCCTCCCTACACCTTCTAAATGCTGGGATTACAATAGGCATGTGCCACAGGACCTGGCTTCCCAAGTTGTCTTCATGGACATACTGACTTTTGTGGCCGTTTAGAGAAACCAGCTCTCTTTTTTTTTTTTTTTTTTTGGTTTTTTTCGAGACAGGGTTTCTCTGTGTAGCCCTGGCTGTCCTGGAACTCACTCTGTAGACCAAGCTAGCCTCGAACTCAGAGATCCACCTGCCTCTGCCTCCCAAGTGCTGGGATTAAAGGCACGCCACCACCTCCGGCTTGAAACCAGCTCATTCTTAACCCTTTATTCTCCACACAGATTTGGACCAGCAGAGCCTGCCAAGTGAGCCAGAAGAGGCTCTGAGCCGAGAACTGGGGGAGGGGGAAGAGACAGAGCTGGCCCCTCCTGAAGACTTGCTAAGTGCCCCTCCAGCCCTCTCAAAGCAAGCCCTGGATACAGAAGAGGAGGGGGCTGCAGACAAGGAAGCCTTGCTTCAGCTCTCATCCCCTCTTCACTTTGTGAATACGCACTTCAATGGGGCAGGGTCCCCCCAGGACGGAGTGAAATGCCCTCCTGGAGGACCAGTGGAGACCCTGAGCCCAGAGGCAGTGAGTGGTGACCTAATGGCTCCATCCAGCACCCTCTCACCCCAACTTTGCCTTGCCGAAAGTGGTCCAGTTA